GCAAAAAATCCTTTCGAGACTTACTTGAAATATTCTTTTAATTTCCCATGACCATCTTCAACTGCGAGTAACTCTTCAACGGATCTGAAGGCTTCTTGAATGTCGACGACACATTGCGGATTGTATGCGTAGAGTGACTGAGTAACGACCTCGTAATATTCTAATAGGAAATTCCATAATTTTTTACGAATGCTTTAAAACGGAAATCACGTGCTCGAGGATACTGTTAAAATTAAGGTTTACCATAAAAATCTGCTTTTGCGTAAACTGGAGCACTGCTAGCTACCGCCCCCTGGAATACATGTATAATATTTTTCTTTTCTTATGAGAATTTACCAAATTTCTACTGATTGAGAAAAAGTATTCGTCAAACCTGTATAAGGTGAGGATATTTTAATCTCGCCCAGGCCGCCATACTTCCTGCATAGGAACCACCGAAAACGACTACTGAACATTTTTCTATTCCGAATTCTCGTTTTTTTGTCTCAATAAAATAAGCTAGGTCAGCCATCGCTTGTTCCAAATTCAGATATTGCATATTTTCGGGACTAGTATCCCTAAGAAATAGACGTTTGATAATTAATAATTTGATCGGGTAAGTGGATTAGAGGAAAATGTAAAATCATACTTTGTGGGTCTACTCGCTCCGTAATAACGATGTTCAGTATAAAACATAAGGGCGCCATGTGCTACACCCAAATCAAACATGAGGCCGGTCTCAAGGAAACTAGTAGAAATTTCCCATTCGCCACCCACCATTATTAAAATTGGACCGATTCCTTGAAAGTAGCCATCGTTTTGATAATATCGCTATAATTATATCAGATTATATAATAAACAATAGAACGAAAGCAGATTCACTTACTAACCATGGACCAGGTCCGATTGTCTCGGTGATTGAAGTGATCCAATGGTTGGGTTATCCATCCTACGTATATCGTTCTGATAGCTCCTTTGAAATTGAATGAAACAGGTTTCTCTAGTCCTTTGTACCGGAAAATATGCTTTCTATAAACATTTCCGTTAGGCTCTACTCATTGTCAGTAGACCTAAAACCTATATATTAAATAACCATATCTTTGGGTCGCTATGTGATGAAAACCAGACCCACTGTTTAGTCTTCCCATAGTCCGACATAGACCACGTACGTAGGTTCTGATTTTCCACGCGGACGTAACAACTGGTTGCGAAGTCTTCTTGACTCTTTCGACAGTCAACGGCTACTGATAACTTTGATAGCCTATGGAGCCAGCATAACAATATTAAGTCCTAAAATTTCCTTATTTTCTACTTCTAGCCTGAGATAAGTTAATCAAAATGCTAGAGCTAATCCACGAGATTAGAAAGATGAAAAAGCGAAGATCTTTAAGAATTTTTCATTCAACATTGTTGTGAGCCCAAATACTGGGTTCACGGATTTGACTGCCGGAAAGGGTTTTCGGGAGTCAGGTACTTAGGGATTCGTTGCCTGAGTAAAAAGTTGGAACTTAACTCTCGATAACAAGTAAAAGATTTATTTGAAACAAAACAAGTTACGTTAGAATACACTATTGGAATAAACCGTAAACGTGGTGAGTACGAAATCACGAGGCTAGAGGTTAGTACTTCGACTAAGTTACCGTAGTAACGCTTCACTCGTAGCTCTCTACTTCGTCTGACGAGCCGACAGGTCGTCCGCTTTTTATAATCTTAGTTATGGAATTTTTTAGAGATACAATAACCAAGGATTGTTTCTATATTTCGCCATGGTGTCGGTGATGTGTCTCCCTTGTTTCCATAATATTGGCGAGTGGAATGTGCCACGTCGCAGCGTGGCCATTCCGTCGCTTCTGACGTAGGCGTGTTTCCAAATCTATATTATGGTTTACAACAACATTTAATGAGACAATCTTGTAACTAATAGATAAGTGTGATAGGACAGTATCTTCTTTGCTATAAAAATATTTATTGAAATTATAGGAAATACAATCTTATTCTCTGCCTGGTTTCTTTCTATGTAACAAAAATTCGAATAGTCTCTCTAGTGTCTAGACTTGACAATAGATGACGAATATAACATTATTTATTTCCTTTTCTGTTTATTAGTTTCCGAATCGGAAGTCTCCCATCCGTCATTCGATTCGGTGGATGATCTTTTCTGATATCTCACAGGACTTCCGTGTTCCTTATGATCATTCGTCGATGAATCTGTGTAATCTGATTCGTTCTCCGAATACGAATTATTTGATTCTACATCATCCCATTTTGACTTGGGGCGTTTTACTCTTTTTGAATGTTTTCTCGTTTTATAATCCTTTGATCCTCCCGGTTCCTTATTAGCGATAAGAGATTTTGTCTGTGGCGAATCATTTTCTTCGTCATTGGTCCTTTTCACGACATCTTTGGATTTGAATCTTGAATCATTTCTAGTCTTCTCCCGCGTTCTCGATCCTTTTTGTATTCCTGACCTAGGATCCCTTGACCTTTTTCCTACTTTTGAATGCCTTCCTTGACTTTCCGTATGACTAGATAATTCCTCGTTATTGTCACTATCTTCAGAATGTTTCCTTTTCGATCGATTATCACGTCTGCGTGAGGATCTTCCACCGGGAGATCGTCTGTCGTGTGTTTCGAGATTTCTCGAATTTCTACCAGCTCTTTCCGTCTCCTCCTGTCTTCTATCGCGCCTAGAATTATATCTACCGTCAATATCCTCTTGACGACGATGCCTTCCGTTTTTGCGACGATGTTCGACCTCAACTTCCGGTGATTCCGACCACCTCCAATCGCGATCCTCTTCGTTTCCTCCGCGTGTAGATTCCTCCCACTTGGACCTGTTACTCCTGTGTTCGCTTCTTCTGGTTGTAGGATCCTGACTCTCGGTCCTTTTAGCCCATCTGGGTGGACTTCTTATATCGTATTCGTCGTGGGGATTCCTAAAAGTATGCAGGAAGTTACAAGCACGTCCTTTGGGGCACTTGACCATCCCACACACAGCGTTCCTCCACGATTTCAAGTTCGCGAATTCGCAATTCAATTGCCTTCCTGCGTACCAGCGACCCTTCAGCTTCCTGACTGCGCGCGCTGCTTCGCGTTCAGTGTAATATTCGACGTACAAATTTCCACGAAGATGGATCTCCGTGTTACAGCAATACTTGAGGGTTTTTATTCTGCCAAAACTTTCCAATTCAGGCACCACGTCCTTGTAGAATTCTCGAAAATGCTGTCGAGTCTCCGAACTCTCAAACTCCAGGACGACGTCAGTGTCGTATTCGGCAGAATTTTTCTCCAGAGAGAAATGAGAATAAAATCCAGGAATCAGGATGACTTTGCTGAGACAAACTCGACGATGATTGCGAGAGCAAGTGTCACCGTAACGACAGGCGGCAGTTTTTGTGAAAAATGGACAAAGTTCCTTGCCAGGTTGACTCTCCGTTACGGCTCGCAGAGCTTCTGGTGTTTTCGTACCATTGTCGATGTAATCGTCTATCTGTCTCTGAAGTTCCTCGTGTCTCTTGATTTCTTCTTCTTGGAGACGTTTCTCTTGTTCCTTCTTCAGTCTTATTGCTTCTTGCTTTGCTTCGTATTCCTTGCGAATTTTCGCTTCTTGCTCGAGCTGCTCTTGTCGCGCTTTTGCTTTCCGCTCTTGAAGAATTCGCCATTCTTTCTGTGCCGTTGCCTAAAATCAAATGTAATATAAATGTCAGACCACTTGAATTCTACGTACATTTTATTAAAATCTAATTCATTCACGACCCTAATGAACTCACAAGAAAGTAATTTGTAGGTTTTGGCATCCACATGACGACATCGTTTTCGAATATATGTGAATTCTCAAAACGTGCAGAGTATCGATAACAAATGAATCCCGCGTATTGATATTACCGTTGTGTATCGATAAAAAGAAAATACTGTCGATTACCAAATTACTTACTTCAGTTTCCAACCAGCGTTTCTCCTGTTCCTCGTGTTCCTTTTCCTCCTGTTGCTTTCTAGCTTCGTCTTGTTTCTCTTGCTCGGCCAACCAATTCAAATATTCCTCGCTTCTCTCCAGTGCTGCCCTCAGGCGTTCGGCGTCGGCGTCTCTCTCACGAGCGGCTTCTCGTCGGAGACGTTTACGACGCTCTTTTTTCGCAAGGCGTCTCCACTCCTTATGGCTTAACCGAGCCACGCCAGCACACTCCATTTCCTGACATGTTCTTCGGAAGTACTCTTGTATCGAATTGGATGTGACGGTAATTGAATTGAAAGTTCGCGAAACTGCTCAATAGTGGCTGACAGTCGACACGAGCAGACGACACGTGCTCATATGCCGCCATTGTGGCATTAGCAGTCATTGCGCTTGTGCGACACGGAATTTAAAACTGGCGCAGATTTATGATAATACTCCAGCAATACTACAATCCAGCTGACCTCCACAATTCGATTCTCTTGAAATTTGTATCGGCTCTTGGGGCAATAATCGATTATTTCTATTTGAAAACCGATTAATAACAAAATTATTTCTTTTCACATATTTAATCCTCGGTAGAACTAAATTCAAACAGAATGAGTCATTGCAGTTATTCAATCATTACGTAAAGTATTAAATCAAATGTCTTTCGAACATTTTAAAAGCATCCAGTTTTGTTCTAATTGCACAAATAATTTATTACAGTTTCTAGCATAATTGTACGTATGCTCTTGTTTATGCTAAGTATAATGTGGTGCGATTGCATATATGTTGCCGTTCTTTCTTCTCGCTTCGATGAACGCGCATTCAAGTAACAGAAGGTCTGTTTGTCAAAATATAAGGTTTCGTAGATCGACAGCATACATATGTCTCTTGGAATGAGATAGGGACGGGGGATGGGCTCGTTTTCGTACGGCCCTGAGGTACCGTTAGTTCTCGGCGAGCATTGAACCACCGGTGTGGGGGACTCGTTCCAAGGAAGGAAGCGTATTGGCCACTCTAATGCTCTTCGAAATGTTCTTCGCCAGTCAGCCGTTCCTCTTGCGCGCACCTACGTGTCATTATTCGTTACAATTGTCTTACGAAGGAGGCCTCCGACTAACCGGTTCGACATGACTGAATTCGCGCGAGTCGACCACGTTGATATACTAAATATAAAATAACTTCCCACTGTTACACGTATTGTTTTTTGTGGATCTAGTACGGTATTGTAAAATAATATATCTTACAATTGATAGGACAGTTTGACGTGTACCGTTTTATATTCTGTCTTGTGACTTCTTTTTAAGACCGTATTTTGCACGCGGAACCCGTGAAGGTCTCGAATTCCTTAAAAGTGTCAGTCCCGTTAAATTTATGATATTAGTTTTTTTATTGACTATTATAGGAAATAATAAAAGGAAGGATGTTTGTTTAAAAAAAGGAATCCGTAAAACTCAGTTTGTTGTGTCTTTGATAATTACATACAAGATAATTGTAAATTGGAGTGACGTGTCGTTTGAACGATAAATAAAGAAAATGTCCAAAGAAAATGGAACTAAAGCGACCAAACAGAATATAGAAAAGAAGACGAAATTCCGGGCGTATCTGCATTGGCTTTTTGGTGGTATCCTCGGTGCACATCATTTCTACCTTGGCAGGGACGATCATGCTTTCGTCTGGTACTGTACCCTTGGTGGATACTTTGGAATCGGATGGTTGCGTGATCTCTTTAAGATTCCTACATACGTAGCTGATGCTAACGAAGAAGTCCAGTATATGGAATGGTTCAAAAATCAAGTCCGGATAAATCAAAAGGTATTTTTAACGATCAATCACAAAAATGTCTTTCTCGAGCAACATGTGTAAACGTATGAACTACTTGCGTGGATAATATTTCGGATTTTATTTTCTTCGTCCGACCAGAAGTTGTTGTTCTAGGCTGTACTCATCTCGTACAGTTTCCCTTATTAATGTATTATAATTGCTCAGCTTGTTCATATTATTATGTCAGTTGAAACCAACTTACCTTCCCGCCATTTGAGTCAATAGCGATGCAGTCCATAAATTTGCAAACTCACTAGAAATAATATACACGTAATATTCAATTTACATATATTTTTCATTCCAGCCACCATATTCAACCGTAAGATTTCTTGGCGCCGTGATCGTGTCATACCTTTGGGGTCAACTGATCTACTTGGCCATTCCAAATGAGGAGATCAATGGAATCAATTTCAGGCCTTTGATGATCTTCATTCCAGCCGGCGTAGCCCTAGGTCGGCAATTCTGTCATTGTTGTCAATAGAATAGGTCAACGTGGATGTATTCTACAATTAAAGACAGTCTGAGTCTTGAGTCCACTTTGCCGTGTTTGTGTCTTTTACTGATAACACTGAGGTCAAACAGCTCGACGAAATATGCATAGATAATGCATAGTTTTTTTAGATAAGAATTAATTATTCGGCAATTCGAAAAATCGATTTCGTTACGCTACTCAACTAGCGTCTTTCAAATAGTCACTGTTCCTTCAATGTGCACGTAGTCAATTTTGAAAAAAAAAATTGTTCAATGTCTGCAACCACTTATTAACATCTCATGATATTTCTCTGTCAATCAGGAGTTTGGGTCGTGGGAAACATCGGACGTGAACAAGGAACAATATGGGTTCCCTTGGGATTGGCCTACTTATGTTATCCAACCTTAACCTACCTTGGAGACGACAATACCTGGATGGCCCTCATGGTTCTGGCTGCCTCCCTTGGGTTCGACACCTTCAGCAAGCAGTGGCGGCTGAAGCCGCGTAAGAAGCGCAGTACACTTAAGAGATTAGGCATCTTTGGGATTGCTTGTTTACTCTACACTTCACTTTGGGGCAGCTACTTCTATTTCAATGCCAGCATTACGGACAGCGAGGGAGAAGAGATTAAGATCTCCGATGCAATCAGACACTTTTTGACATCGCCAATTTGGCTGGACCTTAAGGTCAGTGTTAATGAGACCTTAATATGCATGGCAATAAGGGATTATAAATGATTATGCAATTAGGCGAGCCTGGAAGAAACATGGCGGCAAGCTAAGCACCAGGGTTTCTGGGCAACCTGGAGGCAGCTGGTGGACCTCACCGATCCTAGAGGAGAAATAAATGCCTACAAGGTAACATTATCTTCTGATACTCTTTTTTACCTGGATACTTTGATATGAATCAAATTTTAAAATTTTTTTTTTAAATTAGGTCTTGGGCCTCTCGCAAACAGCTTCGCAGAGTGAGGTCACTTCCAAGTGGAGGAGCCTCTCTCGAGAACATCATCCTGACAAGGTCAAAGGTTCCGAAGCGGAACGTAAAGCGGCACAAGAAAAATTCATGGAGATTCAGCAAGCTTATGAAATATTGTCTAGCGCGAAAAATCGCAGGCAACAACGAAATCGTAGAGCAGGTTGATAGGACGAAAAAGATTGGTTTTCTTTTTTTTTTTTTAATTTGTTTTTGAGTACAAGTCTCTACTATCGAATAAATTGAAAGTCGACCTGGACACGATAAGATGGCGACAATCAATGGAATATGCATTCCACGACTTTCACTCAATTTCATAAACAATTTATTTAAATAATCATTTACAATAGTTATCCATATAAAACGTTCTGGTATATATTATGTATATTATGTATAGCTATCGTAATAAGCGAATCTTTATTATTTATAACGCATCCCCTACCGAATTCATCTATTGAAATTGACTCTTTAACACATTCTCACAATTCCCCCAATTTCTTTGTGAACTATCATGACCTCCCACCCAGGAAAACCCGCGAAAGAGTAGAACCTAAAATAGAATTTGTTATTTATAAGCGTTCAAGTGTACCTGCGCGCTTCTGGCCCCAGAACAATCTGGCCAAGGCATCACGTGAAGTCACGATACTCTCTGATCTACGTATGTATGACGCACGACACATAACGTTAGACTGCGCTCAGATGAGAGAGAGCATTTCCCGAGTGAAATGGCCAGAGATGATTAGCCGCGAATTTTCAAGGTACAGATAACCGTTTGGCTTTCAACAATTTCCACGAAAATGCAAAAATAATCTCTTCGCTTTGGAAAATATTTTAATTTTCCGGACAACATCGATGGTGGTATCGATATATGTTACGTATACAGCACTTAAACTTCTCAGCACTCTACATTTAAGAGCGAAGCAAGTGTTATTCCTTTGTCACTTGACAGGGTCGTGTTTGTCGTTTCTAACGATTTCATACCCCGTTTAATATTATCTATTTTTTTTGTCTTTTGTCAAAAACGTTATACGCGACTTTCATGTTTATTCTTCCAATTGCGCTCAATGGATCTTAACTCTAATGAATAAATAATAATTTCACGATTTAGGAGAACTAAGATCTATTATACATACACGTATGTCTGGTGTTACTTGTTCTTCTTCTTGGTACGCGGTGGTTTCACTATGGATGAGTCCATCTTCTCTGACACTATCTTCTCTGTGAAATTAGTTCCGTACTTGTCGGTAGCTCTTTCTATTATTTCCGCCGGAGCTACCAGAGTGACCCTGCAATTATTCACAGTCCAAATTATCTATTCCACAAATCTTTCCTATCGCATGGTCTTTCGCCTATTTCGAGATTTTGCCTTACCTCAATTGTGGCACGCTGAGCGGACGAAGTAAACTCTTAACGACTGGGGGAACGTCTCCCGGTTTTGGGAGGGCGGGACTGCTGGCGCACAGAGCAGCGCTGGTCAATTGAGATACTAAGGAAAAGCTCCGGTCGGGACCGGAAGTAGTCCGGAAGACTCTTCTGATCTTTGATCTCAGTCCTGTAGATGGTGGCGGTACGTTCATGGGAATCGGGGTCACCTTTGATGAATAAATAAAAAATTCTAACGATGATATCCAACCAATACTCATGGCATTTTCTCAGAGCTTCTAAACGGTGCAAGATGGCGGTACATACCTTTCCCTGAAGTACCTTAGCAGCTAGTTCCGGTTCGCTGCCCCATCTACAGGAAGTCGTCCTTTCCAGCAATCTGTGCCTGGCGAACCTTTCGATGACTTCGGCGCAAACGTAACGTCCGCAAAATCTCGCCCACTGCTCGGCCCTGAGACCCCTGCCGTGATCTCGAAGCGTGGGATTTGCACCTGTTTGCAAAAGCACTGGTCACCCTGACATCCGGCTTAAATTCCATGTAAATCTGACATTCGGACGCTCACCGGCGAATAACAGAATCTTGGCGCACTTCGTTCTTCCCTGTAAAGCAGCCTTCATCAAGGGCGTGAAGCCCAAGATATTTCTTGCATCCACTTCGATCCCAGGACACCTTTGTAGAAGGACATTAAGACACTCGATTTGTCCTGTAAAATTTTGAAAAATACATTTTCTTGCTCCCTAAGCCCAAGTACCGTCTTCCCGGCCGCATTTGAGTCCGGGAAGAGCCACTTTTGTGGCCTGCTTGCCTACATTGTATAAACAAATGCAAACAAGTCAATGTTCAATCGTAAATTCTAAGCGCCTATGGCTTTACTCTACTCTTCATAGCCGTAAATTTGTAATGTCAGTTGAATAATAAAAACGGGAAGACGATACTTTTGGCTTAGGGAGCAAGAAAAATAGTATACGACCCATGGCCAAAAAGTTTAATGCCCTGGCGTATGTGATATAAAGGCCGAGGCGAAGCCTGTATAATTTGAAAACTGTATATTCAACAACTGTGTAATCACCATCACTACGTGCAATTGCGGTAAAGAAAAAAAATAACGAGCAAAAAAAAGAAAAAATAGCCAAATAAAATGTATTATTATATTAATAACAATAATAATAATATTGTCTTTAATAATAATCTTTTTTTTTTAGTCATTTTATTCTTGCATTTGATTTTGTATGTGTTTTAATGCCCGCCCCGACCAGCAAGAACCCACGTCTTCGCCTCGGTTTTGCAAAAGTCGGGCGGGCCACCGCCCTCGCACCCCCCCGCCCAGCAAGAACCCTCGGCTTCGCCTCGGCCTTTATATCACATACGCCAGGAAATCCAACTTTCTGGCCTAGGGTCGTAATATACTATTTCCTCTTCGACAAAAAATTTCACCCGTGACTTTGTATTGAAACGACTGGTAAACGAGTCTCTGAACGAACTAGAGTTTATTTGTTTACGATTCGAGTCAAAGTCATGACGTAGTGCTCGAGAAACACGAATGCTTCCTTCGGCTATTTCCGTATCCGTTGACGCAATACTAATCAAGATTCGTCTCGGCGGTCATATTGAAATTTGGCAATGATCTGACAGTGGGCTTCCAATGTATTACGAGCAGCGTAGATATTTCTCCGTCCCTGTGAGCTTTGTTTACAACTGCATTCACGCGAACGGAGATACACTTTGTATCTCCGTCCTTTGCATCATTGACGATGCGTTTGCGAATTTAGATCAAAGTTGCAAATTTATCTCCAGCCTCAATGTCTCTGTATCATAATTATCAAAAATTTCCTCAAAAGACACACTTACCAGCCTGTGCGGCGAAGTGTAGGGGCGTGTTTCCCTCGTTATCAGGAATATTCGGATCGAGTCCCGGAAACGACAGAGCAGTCTCGAGCATAGCAATGGCGCCATTTCCGGCCATGTAGCTGACCGCAGTCTGCAACGAATAAACACACTTGCATGCACTCTGTTTCCTTTAAAAAACATTTCGAATAGTCACTACTGGCATTAAAGCGCCTATGTACAGGGCCATTCAGTTTAAATATATCGGCATTGAACTTGACAGCTGCCGTCCAATCATTCGGTTCAGAATCACTTGGCAATGCTTCTACGTCCAGCAGCATTTCAGCCGAATAGCCCTCTTGTGCGTTCTGCGTGCGTAACATTAGGAGAAGTTAACATTAACGTGGTATGTAAGTGAGAGGTGGGTGGAAAATTGGCAAAATTTCAAAAATAATTCATACTCCGAATGGGGAAAGTCCTTCCGAGTTAATTTACCTTGGACTAGAGTATGATAACAAGAAGAGGGGTTGTCATTATACGGTTGGCAAATCGTCACGAGGGATCGTACGAGTAAAGATCAGCAAGTAACACAATGGCTTCCATTCAATCAATTAGGCGACAATCCATTAAGCGACACGGCGCGTACGCATGTTGACGCGATCGCGCAAACGTTGTTACTCGACTTGCGTCAGTTGCGAATTGAGCAACAACGACGAGCCCAGTGGGTATAGGAGAGGCCAGTCATGAAAACAGGATCAGATGAAAGATACGTAAACTCGGGTCACACCCATTTCGCGTTGTTACGTCAGGAGTCATCGGAGCGCATAATTTTTGCTTCTCTTATTCGAGGTCGATTCTATATTGGGACTAGGTTGCGTTCGTTTCGCAGTTAATCTTCCTCTGCTCAATAGCATCTACTCGTCGCGTTCGTTGTGAACGGACTTGATCTCCTGGCTGGATCTCATGATTTGGTACCAATGCAGCTCGTTAATCTTCTTTGGAAACTACCGAGAAATCGCAAGCTGATCTTGTGATCTATCGATCGGAGAACGCCAAGGATCTTGTCTGAGGTCAGTGACTATTGTTCAAAGCGAGGCTTACGAGCGGCCTGGATAAGCCTTGGGACACGTGTTCATTGTCGCCGCGATTTTATTAATGAATATCAGTCCCTGACCCAAAATGTCCTTTGAAAATTATTCATTCTGGACGGATCCGACGTTTAAGGGGATGTTGATGCGGAGTGACGTCACACGGGAAAGATTTGTTTTCTATGAATTCTGGCAGTACTACCGAACGTGATATTCTGTGTGAATCGACCTTAATTAATCGATACATCGGAAGACCCAGAGAGCTCAGCTACGTTCTATTTGCATTGAATAGGTTCTGTGCAACTTTTACTTGTCCGAGAAATTTCCGTGGGATCAGACGCCCTCGGGATTCCGTCGTGACGCAAGGTAGGAAATAATTAAAGACTCGAGCGTCGCGCCATTGAAATCGCCTTAATGGCACTTGGAGGATCGATGCGGTAATCGAATAAATCTTCATGGAATCGATCGTTAAGTTCAGCCGTTACTGGGACGTATCGTTATCTTTGGAAAATTGCTCGTCAACCGATACCAGAAGGAAATTACGAAATACGTCGAACACGCAAGCCCGTTGCTTCTCTGAGCTTCGATATTTTCAGCGCAGCTTCCCAGCCTCTTCCTCCTGACGGTACAGTAAATTAGTCTTATGATTTTCAAAATAAGCAATACCTCCCCCCCCCAAGCCAATAAATTCTCCACAGCCCGGCTATTTCAGAACACCAGTAACGGTTCGCAAAATTGGCCAACGGTGCAAAAAAATTTCATTTCATATTCGCACAACGTAACAATCTTGTACTACATCCAATGAAAACCCATCGTCAGTCTTTATTAATTGATCATAAAGAAATTTGCACGTTTTCGCGATCGATGTCCCAGTGTCTTTAGATGTCAGGGAATTCACGTATCTCGAGGAATGATAATTAGGGCGAGACGGGTGTATTGGTATTCGTTCCAAAAGCAACTGCCTGGTGCTAATGACTACTAATGATTATTTTGCAACCTCATGCCAATTATTGCCAATCATTCGGCACACCATGGGCCTCCCTGTTTTGAATGCTTACAAGTTCCTTCGGGGCCATGCATACCTCTGTCATATGTCTCATATGTTGACAAATCCGACACGTGGTCAAACATCTAATCTGATCTGCTCATAAGATTCATCTATAAGTTACACGACGGCGTACGGCCTCTATTGGCCAATTCACTTAGAGTCTAGCCGCAGCATTGTGCGTTCTGACCAATTCGGTATTTTTCCAAGCCGCCGCCACGGACCTCGCCCAAGATCAACTTCTTATTTTCAATTACGTCCTCGAGCTCCCTTTGCGCGATCCACGCTCTCTTAGAAAACGCAATTAGGCTTATCTGATATAACGCAGCACTAAGAGCATTTTCTCATAAATGGCCTAAATGCTATGAGAATTTAATATTTTGCTTATCCATTGGACTAATTGACAATTGGTAACACAGAAGCGCTCACCGAAATTGCCCTGTGTTTGCCTTAGGTCAATTTATGAATTCTAGTTGGACCGAAGCAATTTTTGGAAACCTTCGCTATCTTTGCTTTTAACTAGATGGATTAATGCTATTATATTTATGGACTTTTCGTGTTTCAGCAGAATCCAGCTTTTAATGATTTTTTATTTCTCGTTCGTGTCACTTACTCTGCCGCTGTTGTCTACTGCGTTTATATCCATGTCCCCGAATCCGAATATTTCGGCTCTGGCGACAATCGACTTGAAGATCTCTTCGTCAGCCTCCCGGGCAGCCCTTAGAAGGGCCTTGGGACCCCCGGAAGACGATTCCCACGTGGACGGCACTGCTCTGGATGCTTCGCCACAAGTGGCGCGATCTGGTGAATATTGAAACAAACAAATTTTCTAACACGATCGACGCAATATTAGCATAAACATTTTTCGAATTAATTTTCATCACCTTGCAGAACTCCCTTCCGGTACACTTTGGCCTCGTGAACTGCCGTTTTCCTGTAGGGCGATCGCTTCTCCTCAAAACTGGTGTCCGAGCTGAAGGAGACGGATTTTTTGACCCCAAAGTTTGAAGGCTTCTTCCAGCTGGTCGGCAGAGTCTGGAAGCTCGGCGATCTCTCGAAGAAGAGATAATCCTCGACTCCGCCGTTCGCGAGTACGGATTTCCGGAGCTTCTCCTTGTCCAGGTACCCGTTGATCCTGGCCTTGCTCTCGGGATTCTGCCTGATCGTGTAGTGCGTGAGACTCGCTAGAAAGGCCGAAGATCTCCTCAGGATTCCGTCCTCGTTCACTTTGTGCAATGGCTTCTCTCTCGATTGAAGACCTGCGAACGTGAGTCAGACTCGTGGATTCGGTTGGTGACTTCATGAAGTTACAGTACGTGCCCACTCCTGACTTGACATTCTAAATTTACCATTAGGGCACTTTACTATTTATCCGGGGATACAGAAGTTTCCAAAGGATTATCTACTCTCTGTTCTAATCCGACCAAGAGATTCAAAATAAACAAACAAGCGTTTCAGAATAAATTGTACGAAAAGAAAATCTCCTAAACGGAGATTCATCAGGTTTTCATGACGCGTCACGATTGCCTGTGATTTTTATTGACGTTTTCATCAAGAATAAATTGTACCTGGGAAGACGCGAGGATTCGACCAGCGCAAAGAGAATACCTACGGGCCATCGAGGACTCACCTTCCTTGAGGTTACATGGGACAGATGCTGATTTCCCAATAGGAACGACGGGTCGGTCGGTCCTCGAGTTCCTCGTCGACCTGGAGGCGTCCCTCTCGACGTCCGTCGGTTGTCGCGACGCTGGCAGACTCGAAATTGAATTCTGCGACTTTTTCGTTTCCTTTGCCGGAAATTGAAGACTGTTCCTCGAGCCTTCCTCCTTGTACGTCCTCCCGTTGGCGAACGGAGCTTTTTTCTTCACCGTCGACGTCGGCGCCGGCGTCTCGCACACTGCGAAGCTATTTCGAGCTAGCTCGCCGCGAGAAGCGACGATGCTGTAGTTGCTGACGACGTAGGGAGAACTCGAGGTAGATCTTAGGACTCTCTGACAGCTTGACCTGTCCTGCCAATCAGCGTGTTCCTCGAGTATTCTCCTTACCTTCTGCAACATTTTATCCCTTCAAGACTCCAAAAAAACAAAGAGACAAGACTCCATTCAAGAATTGTTTTAGTCAGACTGTAAGTGGCAAAGATTAGATCTGACGAATCCCATAGACTCCTCTGCCTGTGCCACGAAGAATTACGACCCGACTTCACATTTAAATAACTGATAAGATTGCCGAGAGATCAAGCGATAAGTCGATTAACATGCCCGATAGTCACTCACGAACAGCACGCGCCTCAGCAAAAACTCGAAAAACCGGGAAACGTAATTAGTTTATAGATATAAAAAAAATCCACATAGCATAAACGGATTATTAACATTTAATCGTCACTCACCAACTTTCAATTGAACTCTGTACAAATTGTGTCTCTAACGGTTCGTCAAATGATACCTTGATTGACACTGCGAGCTACGCGTCTATTTTCGCAGAGCGAAAAGAAAAAAAGAAAAAAGAAGGAAGGTCATTCGAAGCGACAACGGCCAATTGTCTACCGGTCGATGATCGTAGACGGAATGACGGTTTACTGGCGAGAGCCAGTGCGATAAAGCGAGAAGTAACTTTCCGCAGCGTGGTGGAACGGTGGAACGGTGGAACGGTGGAACAGTGGAACAGTGGAACAGTAGTAGAGAGGAAGAGAGGAAGAGATCCCTTCCTGGTCCCGATCTTCGCGACTGTCGACTCTCTTTCAACGCGCTATTTATACGCACGATTCGCTCGTCTCGCTCGGCTCGCTCGGCTCGCTGCGCCTATGTGCGCCTGTGTGCGCCGACAGCTGGTTATACGTGGGACTATCGAGGGAGCCATGTGGCGGAGTGCGAACGATGGCGCGACTAGGCAAGAGCCAAGGTGTTCCGAGCCGGCAGAGGCTTCGAGTTCGCCTGATTGTAAGTAAAGGCCGGGAGGCGAAAAGAGAGAAAGCAGCTTACTTGGTGAGTCGTTGGTTGAGCAGTGGGGATAGTCGGGCCGGTGCCGTTCCTGTGGCCGCCGACGGCAGCGACGCTCCCAAATTTCACTCTGCGTCCATTTGAGATCGGCGAGAAACTCTGACTGGTCTCCATCAGAGGCTACAATTTAGAGATTTTCTTGCAGTTGTCTTTTGCGTCATTAGAATATGTCCTTGGTTCCTTTATTTCTTAATTATTATTGTGTTTGTGGTCTGTCGTCGTTGTGTGACGTCATGCAATTATACTGTTTTAACTCGTATACTTCGTAGATACTTCCTTGAATTTTGGAAAACATACCGGAGTACCGGTAGCCATTAGCCATTAGCCATTAGCCATTCCCTTAGTAGCCACTAGATGTGTGTTACGTATAACGTAGACACGATTTCCCGTTCTCGCCTCCTTATTGACACGCGGTTATTTTAGTATTTTCTATACGAATAGCGTGGGACTCGAGAGTTGCTGTGAGCTTGTCACCGAAAGCTTTTTGGCTCGGCAGCCAATGTTTTGAATCTAGCCGAAAACTTGTGAAAAATTAGCGAGCCAAGAGAGACTGGGATTACTTGTCGAATTTTTAAAGCGACTGAACAGCCTTATGTTAAAAATCGATAATCACGCGAAGATTGGCTTTAAAAAATTTAGTTCGATTATACGCGTAGCTATTTTTCCTTAAAAATATTTTTTGCAAATTTCTTTTTTCAACTCGCTACGGAAAAGCATATTAATATCTAGTACTTGATTTTAAGGTTAACGAGGAACGATTCACGGTCGATTAGAAATTTATATGCAGTTCGTGCATGTAGAACGAGCGCCAAGTTATTTTTGTATAGATATCAAAGCACACGTGTTTGATTCGCAAGCATTTATCAAGAAAGACACGTAAGGAGTTGATATGGTCTGTAGGGAGATAATGAAAGGAGCACATTAGAGAATAGCTGACCTTAAGAAATCTGATATAAGCATGAGGACGTCACTTTCGATAGGATAACAAAAAAAAAATACGATAAGCCAGAGTCTTGCCTTTTTTTTTGAATTTACGTATTTCGGCAAGTCTCGCGTAAACCGTGCTTAAAGGCCTCTTTCATGTTCGCCTTTTGTATACTTTTCCAGCGGTGGCGAAGAACATCAAACGAGGACTAAAGATAGCACTACATTGTACGAGAAGATGCTTTCGTGAAAGCCCAGCGAGTGTCAGCTGGTTTAAACGAAGAGCAGATCGTCTATTCGATAAATTTTCGAAATTTAAAGTAGACCGCGAGACTCACGTCAATAGATATTTGACAATGCAAGATATTTCGATCGCCCATTCAGCTCTCATGTTTACGATTGCTCAACGTGTCCAAAATAAGGTACCTACTTTCTTGCAGATCTTTAGCGAGGAAAGCTAGGACTCTAATTTCGTAGGTGCACGAAATAAAAAAGAAATAAAGAACAACGTCCCACGCCTTAAGCACAGCTCATTCCTTTCATAATTCATGAGACTCGAAGCGCTTGGCGTTTTGAAAGCGTCAGTGAAACCGACAATATTGCACGAAGATTTTGAAAAGCTTCGTGCTACTAGTGCACGAAATAACCTTCTAGTAGCCCAATAGGCTAAAGCAACGGCGCGGCGGCAGTTGAGTCGGAAGTGTCAGGCAGGATTGGCTGACGGTTACGTTACACGAGGCTGAGAGGTTGCCGAGACTCGAGCCGGAAGTTCTGGCTGATTAGTTTTCAAGCGCGCGTGCCTTCTGACGTTGATTGACTTCGACACGTTGGATATTAAAGCTAAACTTGCACACACAGCGCAAGTAAGTAGAATATGGAATATCATAATATATATACGGATCAACCAATCCAGAAATCCCAAGCTATGATACTCGACACGTTCTATGACGAGCAAGCGTTGCTTATCACTAACAGGTACTATCAACGTAACAGGTACACGATAACAAGCACCACTCGATTCTGCATTATCCCGTCTAATAACAAGGTGGGGTCTTGAACGTAGCGATAGGAGGAAATGGCGTGCGAGGGGGGAACGAGTGGTGAGAAAGATAAGGGCTGATAACGGTGACATAGGGTATACTGGCGCACGCAACCCCGTCATCAGAATCCAACAACAAGAGGCGCCTTCCGTGCCAAGGTCGGCACCCCGGCGCAGGTTTGGCGTGACGGAGAATATTTAAAGATATACACGCATGACGGGTAACGGTAATGAATCCCTTAGGGGATTTGGAATTCCCATTGGAGGGCTGTATCATGGAAATGTATACAGACGTGAAAAAGGCGCGTATACGAAATTGGCAAAAGTAAAATATATCATAATGCTTGAAAATGGATTTTTCGAGAAAACATTAAAATGGAACGAAATAACTATATATGTATATATCCGACGAGGGATATTTATGAGAATCTTGAAATTCCTAGTAAACGGTGCGTTCGGCGTGAGTTCGGTATGGTTAAAGGACTCTTGGAGGTGAAATGGCTATGATGCCGGTAATAAACTGAGGTTTCACGAAGTCACGCGGTGCGATCGTAAATGTTCGTTAGCGAAGCATATATATTTTTTATCTACCAGGAAAAACTATATTTCTTTGCTAGAATCAGATGGATGAATTCCAAAAGATCTTTTGATACGAGTGCGTAGGAGAAGGATGCTGCAAAGTAGGTTGATTAGGTTGTCATCGTTGATAGGTCGTGGATGATTTCTGCTTTGAATTTTCACGACAGCATGTTAACTTCTTGACAGCGCGTCATTGACGCATGTTAGGTCAAATAATTTTGGATTCTGAATTTCATGTCACTTAAAGTGCAATTGTGAAGAATCTATCTTTAAGGCAAGAATTTGGTGCTTTTAGTTTTAACCGATAATTTTCAGACTTCGTACCTTTTTCAGCTTCACTTTGAACTTCGGCGTCTCCACTATTGTGGAATCGCCGATTCTTCGATTGATCACCATAATTTCGATGATATTAATATGTCCGTTTTCACACGACTATTAGACAGATTAATTGGGACGATAGTTACGGGAAGTCATGGCGTTTAAAGTTACACATGTAAATACGGTAATTTTCATAGGAGATTATGAAGGTTTAAAGTTTTAATCAGCGACGAGGGACAAATGTAGTTACGGCTGCTTTAATCGTATCATTGCCAATCCCATTAAATCACGGATAAAATAAGACAGGGAAAAAAAAGTGAAAAAAAAAGAAGATTAACTGCAAAGAACGAATAAAAGTTTCCAAACGACTTCTACCGAGACTAGCTATTCTGAATATCGAAATTCCAATTTCTGGCAATAATTCACGTATAATTTGTAGGACTTAATTAATCCGACGACGTCACACTGCAGATACTCGAAAATCTTAAAGGTCACCCGTTAGGTTAGTTGGCTACTAACGTGTTAACGGAGTTTAGCTCGAAAGGGGTTAAATCGTTCGGCAAGGGGTTGATTGTCTACTGGGCCAAACTTTGAATTGCACCCCCGGAAAGCTCTAAGTATCCAAGGGCTCTCGTAATACGGGGTAGACACGCAGGCGCGAATCCAAGCCAGGTGTTGAGCCGCGATACCTTTTGTGCTGGAAAATTGGAATTCCTTTCGACGGGAGAGCATGCCACACACGTCACACACGTCACACACGTCACACACGGCACACACGGCACAGTGTGTGTTGACACATTTTCATTTGAAATTATCGATAAAACATTATAAATTAAAATCGAGTCATCCCGATCGCTACGTAAGGTTCGTTTTAACTTGGGTGGCCTGATGAAAGAAAAGAAAATAAATAAAAAGTGAGAACGCGCGAGGGGCGGAGGGGGGTAAGGAAAGACACGTGACGAGTCACAGGATGAACCTAACACGTGTTAGTTGATTGTTTATTCTTGCAGGTCCACGTGCTGTGCACTCACGCGCAGTTGCATCGACGATACAGTATAAATATATCTATATATATATCTATATATACATGACGCAAGTAAAAGAATACCGGCGTATTTCCACTGCGGTGCCAAGTACGAAGAGGTATCGACATTGAGTGAATAGGGATGAAGGGGATAGTTGGGGATAGTTGGGGATAGTAGTGGCTGATATAAAGAACGTTTGACTTTCTAAAAATATAATTTTTCCGCCAACTGGCTAAGGCGCCGTCATTGTGACTGTGCGACATTAGAATATGCATGTAAGCGATTGCCGATTACTTTTCATGGAGGTAAGGTCGGACGAGGTTGGTATTACCATCCAAGGGTAGGAACCCCCGAGGCCACTTAACCTTGAATAGAAAATTAATTTATTCGGGGTAGAACAGGCGAGAAACGAAGCCGGTAGTCAGCGATGGAAACACGCAAGTCTCTCCCGAGCCTCTCGAGCCTCTCGAGCCGAAGGTCCTGAGTTCTCCTTAAAGTCGAGGCGGGTCGAGCACGTTTTATTCAGTCTCAATATGACCCAACAGCCGTAAAACGTAATATTAGCTGTTGAAAAAAAAAAAAAAAAAAAATAAAAACCACACGTTTCCACGAAAGCCAAAAATTTCGACAGCAGGAAAATGCACTCACTCGAACGACGTTGCGTTACGCCGATCTAAATCTGCTCCAAAAATACGTTGGCGAAGTTTCAATCCGTTATTATATCCTCTGCTGGTTAATTTTGGAGCCGCTGACATCAGGCACTTTTAACCCCTCAGCACGACCCACAGAATGTCCACGTTCGCGCGGTGACCTTTCAATTTAGTTCCTCTCTCCCCGTTCATCACCATACGCGAGCTTCCAGCTAGCGGGCAATGCGACGCGCGTATCTTGAGACCATAAGTATCCGTGCAGCACGGGTAGCCGCGACAGGAGAAGAAGAAGAGGCGGAAGACGTCGCCTGAGCTCGCCTTTTCATCGGAACGTAGATGGACGCCAACTGTTTTTCTTTTCTTCGATTCCCTTACGCTCTCCTATGCTTCTCCTCTTTGCTCAGGGGCACTCGAACCACTTGGCCCGGACACTTCGCGGCGATGATCAACAACCAATGTTTCTTCTCTTTCTAAGAGGCGACTTCTACGCCGACATGTGGATTCGCGCAGGTTCTATTTCCGTGGATGTGCTCGGCGGCCGATTGATACGCTCTTACAGCTTGCAGCACGTAAGAGAAGAAGCGCCGATCAAGACGTCGCCGCGGATTCGACTGAAAAACGACGCCGCGCGCCGGGACGCTCCCTCGTCAGAGCCATCGCACATGCCATGGCGACTATTCGAGAACTCCTCGAATAAAGTGTGTCACCCTGTATACATTGAGTCTCCAGTCGCCAATGGGTGCAGCTCTTAGTGTGAGGGGAATTTTCAAAATTCTACGGATTTTCGAAAATCGTAATAACTCTACTCCCACGTGACCCCCTCAATGATCCATCGTCAGCGCCAGCTGTTACTGACGGAAGCTAATGTTTTCCGCACGTGAATCGGACGCGGAAACTCACGAATCCACAAGTGTAGGAAGTCTGGGCGATACTGATTCCACAAAGTGCGACCGTAGGACGAGGCTGGGAGGGCTCGCGTCTAAAATTGAATTTCGCTGGGTCGTCCAATCGAAATTCGATTATGACCGGAAGTTGGCAAGCTTCACGATTTTTATTAGCTCCTCGTAGCCTCCCTTTTCCGCATTGCAACCTCAACCGGGAATCTCGCAATCGATCACTGCGGTATCGAAGGTAACCGGTACCCGATCGCTTCCGCTTCTCGATCGTTTTTCAGACTGCGTCACTTTCTCACTGGGAAAAGATTCGGAACTTTTGCACCCCCCGTTATACGTACAGGGCCTCGTGCACGCGCGTGGCGTCGCTCGACGCGATGTCCACCAAGATTTTGAAAAACCGGGTCAGGGGACTTTACCCGCAAACGGACGCCAACTGTGCCTAGGTCGTCTATTTTTGCGTGACCCATCATGATGGAGCACCATCGACGCCAGCCTGCCTTCAGTCAAGACATTCACCTGTAATTCTGCTTCCTCCTCTTCCGTTCTTCATCAATCCACCTGCGCCACGCGCCAGTCACGACCAATCGAAGACACGATTGATCGCTGCTAAGGAACGGGATATATACAATCTCTCGTTGGAAACTCACCGACATTTCAAAGTGTAATACTATATTTCAATAACATATAGAGTGGTACATCGAAGATGAACTATTCAATGAATTATTCACTCGATAACGTGTATTCATCTCTTTCTCCCTTAACTATCTTTCGCTCTCGCTCTCCCTCACTCTATTTATTAATATGGAAAATAGCGTATTACAATGTTTGCCGAGTGGAAAATACAATGCGAGAACCATATAATCTTCTCGACTATCCGTTATTATTTATTTGGCAACAATCAACAACAATTGGGATTAATCGTCATTTGTAATAGCAATCAGTAATAATAATAATAATAGTAATGGTAATAATAATAGTCGCCACAACGTAGCGCCGTATATAGTACAAGATTTAATTTTTTCCTGCTCTTTTTCTTTTGAACCTGCGTTTCTTATATTTATATATTGTTTTATCGATTCTTCCTTTTCCCTCTCTTCGGCCTTTTTTCCTCTTTTGGCTTTTATGTACTCGATCGCAGTCGATGGTTTCACTTAAAGTTTCGTACCGATAATGGCCTCAGTCGTAAAAGAGGAAGCGAAAGTGGCGAGCAATGTATTTCCGGAAACGGGAAGTCGTACGCGCAGGTGACGCGCGACGACGCGCAACGACGGAAAAAGTTTGGCAGTGAGGGTTCTAAATGTTACCTTTGTAATATTGATAAAACGCGAGATACTCTAGTCAAAATGTGAAAGGAAAGGAAAACAAAAAGAAAGGCGCGAAGACACACGTGTAAGGTCCCCCAAGCGAGCGAGCATCGAGATGATCCAATTCCGAACACGAATGGAATTCTCGAGAAGAAATTCCACGTGTAAAATTCCTCCCTTATATGTATATATATGGATATTTTTCTAGCATGAAAAAAATGTTCTAGTTCCTCCCGTGGTTACTCCTCTCAACCAAGAATTCATGAACGGTTAGCTGAGATTCGTCGACTCTCGTTACAACGAAGAATTAATGCCGCTCAAACGACCTTTGAACTGGGATCGAAATTCGAAGGAGAATAGTAAAGTTTTTTTAGTTTATAATTTTCGCAGCGCACGTGTCCCTCCTGAAGCGAAGATCCAAATTGAAGGCAACTTTTGTATGCTTCGCGAGAGACAGGCGGCTCTTCTTGTATTTTTTTTTTTTTAAATATTCTCTTTACCAATTTTCAATTTCAACTACCCTCACACGTACGTTAACCCTTTCGAGAATTCGACGGAGTCCAAGATGCAGGGGTGCACGTTGTACACTGCACGCGCGCGTGATGAGATGCGATTGTGTCAACGTGGACCCGCACCAGAATCACCAATCGAATCCTTGGTTGACCTCTGAGAGAGAGAGAGAAAGAGGTCAGATTCATTGAACCCAGGATGCCGGAACCCAGAGAGGCTCGGTCTCCACTCTGTGAATCGCGCCGACCAGCTGCTCGAACGCCATCGAAAGGTCAGCATTGACAATGACGTCATCGAAGAGATGCGAATAGAGAAATTCTATCCTGGCGGCGCTGTGGAGGATTTCCTGGAACTCTTCGTCCTGTTGGATGATGAGGTGGGGCGATAGAGTTTCGAATGGACCACGTTACGAGCAGACTATGATGGTTCTTACCGTGAAACCGCGAGAGTTGGTCTCGTCGAAGGTCGACCTGGCGCGGGCCTCGTTCCTCGTCTCCTTGAGGATCTCGAACCTTGGTGGTTTGACATAAATAGCAAACGGCTTGAGCTGGGGCGTTCTGAGCATCTTCAGCGCTTGATAGTGTGGATTCAGTAGGCAAACGTAACCAGCGTTCACCAGTGAGCTCACGCTCTCCGCGCTCGTCCCGTATAGGTTACCCTTGTATTCTCCATACTCGATGAATTTACCGGATTCGATGTCCTCGTCCATTTTTTCTCGGGTGACAAAGTGGTACTCCTTGCCGTTGACCTCGCCAGGTCGCGGTGCTCTCGAGGTGTCTATCGATAGAAAAGAATCAATGACTCGGATTGCCATGTGCATTTGGGGTACTCGAGTAAAAGATGACAGAGGACTCACAGGGTACAGGTGTTCTGTACTTGTCGGGATCGGTAGCCATGAGTCTCCTCTTGAGCTCGTTCCTGCCAACGCCCGGTGGTCCGATCAGAACCACCGGTCGGTAGATCCCAGGTCTTGGGTAGAGCTTGGCGACCTCCTCGTAGGTCGGAATCTCTTCGCGGTCAAAGTCGTCGTTCTCTGCTGCGTCATACATGATTTTTTTAGTTTTTATTCCTTGTAAGTTGCACTTTGTGGGCGAGGCGTGCAAAGAAGAGGTACTGGGACGGGGGCACAATGCGGGCAAAGGCACTGGAACAGAACACAAGCCTAACCGACGGTTAGGTCGATTTTGCGTTGGATTAGTTGGACAGCAGTTGGACAGCCAGCGAGTCGCCTTCCTTATTCGCTACGTTCACGGATTACTGCCATTTCTCCCACAATCAAAAGACACACTGAACTTGACGGACACCGTGTAGAAGTAGCAGCCGCAGTCGACCTGGCCAGCTTCGCAAAAGAGGTTAGTGCAAGGTGCGAGCGACTTGGTTCAGTTATTTCAAATGAAGGTAGTAAAGTGCAAAATGGCAGAAACGACAGAGAACGTACCTTAAACTTCCAGTTAATAGCAAAACAATTGACGTCCATATCGGATCATCAAATCATCATCCAGCATCATTCAGCATCCATGTAAATTCGTGCTCGCAAGCCCAGCCACTAATATCTTTCTAAAGCTAGCTAGCGCGTCAAGTTAAGGAACATCGTCCTGCGAATTTCGAAAGCCAAATCAAGAGGGAAAGTGTTCCGTGCGAGGAGTCGCAAGGCGCCTGCGCCACTCCTCGTCTGTTAATGACAGTCCAAGGACGTTCGAGAGACTTCACGACGGGTTCATTTAATCATGAGGGAACCGGCGAACGCGGTGCGCCCCGCGATGATGTCCAGACACCAGGAAAAGAATAGATAAGTTTTCGTGCAACCAGCCCCCCTCTGTCGCTGCTTGCACATTTCTCCGCTGTGTCAGCAAGTCAGCAGAGTGTACCACTTACTTATGTTGTCATCGTCAGTCTTCTCCTTCTGCTGCCTCTCGAGGATGATTCGACGTTCCTGAAGAGCCCGACTTGGAATCAGACCAGCTCTCATGTTTCGATCGCCTTCTCGTCTCGCCTGCCACCTGTTGGGTAAGTCCTGCTTTGTTATAATTCCCTTCATTTTGCACTTAATCGATCATCGGATATACATATATTATTTTATATTGCTTACCAATAGGCATCATCTTGACTGACGATGTGGAGCACGTCGCCCTTGACGAAATCCAAGCCGGCCTCCTTGCACGGTATGTAAGGATCATCCGCAGCCGTGTATGAGAAATGCGCCCTCACGCGCACCTGCGTTCATCGATACAAATTACTGACCTCAATACGCACCAACCACGTCAAGAGTTCTATCCAGGTCAAATGCCTTGAAAAGAAAATACCTTGCTTTCCCTGATACCACCCTTGCTGTCCGCTGGCACGATTTTGAAGGTGATGGTGCCTTCTGAATTTTGCTGGAAAATATTACTCGTTACCCAGTGTTTGTCGAATATGCCCAAGTACTAAGTTTTTCTTTGGGGCAACTACGAGCTACCGTGTTTCATCATAATTGATGCATACGATATAAGCAAGATCAAGGATTACATTTAGTCACCAGTTCGCTTTAGTATCGGGATAATATTAGCATTGCTTTTTTTACCAGAATCTTCAGTACGCAATTAGGCGTCTTGCCCTCGACGCTGATCCCGTTGACCTCGCAGACTTCATCGCCCACGTGGATGAGGCCGGATCTGTCTGCGGCGCCGCCGTGCATGATACGTGCAATCACGATCTTCCCGGTAACTTCGCAAGTCTTTATGGTCGCCCCCTATTGTCAAGGTGTAAACTAACAGTTTCATATCGTTGAATCGTGCGACTAGGAAGCCTCCGCTTTTTCTTAAAAAATATATTCAAAAGAAAAAGGCTCCCTTGTGAGGCTGCAAATTAACGCAGATGCCAAACGTAGAGACAATGTGACGTCGGACACGAAACTCTGAGAAATTTTCGTGAGCGTATCAAAAGATTAAAGATAATAACTGCTCGGTAACCACAGCTTCTCTCTTCACCATCCTCCAATCGTATTTCATCCGATTCGATAGTGACGGCAACTCTTTGTATTCCCATTGATTAACTCGTTTTAGCAAAGTTGCAGTTTGTTGCACAGTAATTGATCGCATGCGTGCCAATAATGACGTAGACTTCGCGATACAGTCTCAAAGCCAGATGTTTCGACGAAAATTTCCCAGACTCGTAAAAGAAGCAGTTGTGAAATTGTATATTACATTTTACGAATACGTGTCGCGCATTCGTTTTTTTTTTATATGTCAAAAGTCCTTTCAAAGAGCCGAATCGAAATTATTCGACGCCATCTTGGCTAATTGAGCGACAGAGTACAAGGCCAGATTGTTTAACGTGTTTCTAGACTTCTTTACTGCTGATACTTTGTTCTTATTGGCACTATGGCAAAGTTTCGAGTCAACTCTTTAAGGAAAGGAGCAGCTTAGAATTAGAACGCAAACTATTGCGTGTGGGATTTTGTAAGACGGAAACGATAGAAGAGTCATGCGGGACAATAACTCAGGCTTGAATCATTGGTCGTAGTATACAGTTTATTTACAACAAAAACAAGAAACACGACACAGGAGATCATGCAGACATTGGGAATAAATAAATTAATGGAGAGATAAATAAATAAATAATCAGAGGAACGATGCTCTCACAGCCTTATGTACATTATTTGACTTGCACACACCCACGCACTCACTCACGCGTATTTCAGCAATCGCGGTAGTTAATCATTGAGCAAAATCGAACGTGCTTGGATGTATACAAATAAATGATGAGCTTAAATATTAAAATCAAAATAATATGGTGCATACGTAATGTGTTGTAGCTCGCGAATTTAGTGATAATAAGGAATTCAGTGTGGACAGTTCGGGTACATCTACTTGCTGTGGAAAACTTACCACGATAGGTTCAACGCCTGCACCACCGCACTTCAAAGCAAGTTTGCCGATGAAAAAATACGTGATTACTTAAAACGTGTATTGTTACGTTTCCGATTGAGATATCTTTTTCTTTTCTATTTGATAAAATTGCTACTTTTTTGTCTTAAGAATTTGTTAGAAACGCATCTCTAAATCTCGAGGCTCCGATTTAATCAAGGTACAATCTTTTTCTCTTCCCTTCTATTGTCAACATGTCTACACCGTCGATGGGAGTAATACGTATATAAGGGGCCACTTGAAAAAAATATATAAAAAATATTGTATGAGAATTCATGCAACTCCACGAACGGGCAATGGAGAGAAAAAAAATATAAAAAAAATTACGGACCGTCCTATCAGTACAATCCACAGTCTAATTTCAAACGTTAATTTCGGGGACTCGATATACTTTGCTATTGTATGGCAAAACGTAACACCCTCGCAAAGCCCGGGAGGATCGAACGCGCTGACGTACCAAGGGCTCGTTGGATTTTACGAGTTGCACGATTTTCACAGTCTCCTCGTCCTCGTCGACCTCCAAGGGAATTTCCGGCAATCTGGGGTAGTAATCTTTTTGAGCAACTGCATCATGAGCACATAGCAATCCCTGAAATATGAAAAACAAAATGTTTCTCAGAATATTTTAGAAAGCTGTTCATACGATAGAAGAATGAGTACTTAACGGAGCTAACCTGTATGTGTGGTTTCTGCAAGAGGTAAAATAATTCCTTGCACTCCTCGGATAAATGTGTTTTCGTAGATAATAAGTCTAAAACTTCAACATCGATATCCATTGCATTTGAGAGAACTGGGAAGAACTTGTCATCCTTGACATTTGTAAGAATTTTATTGTGCACGTTCACTAGTGCATTCAGCTCTTTCGACTTCAATAAATCACTTAGGAAGCCAAATTCTTCATCGGTGCAACTTGGGATTTCTGTCTTATTCTCCTCCAGGGAATTGAGTAGTTTGGAGAGTGCTGTAAAAATATGGAAATAAAGCATTTTATTTTAAAACAAAATGTCAAAGTTTACATGGAATGTCAGAACTATGTCACAAGTATGAGATTGGAACAGAAGATACATGCAGATCATTAAATTAACTTATCTTGACAGACATACAAGAAAGCAGAGTATGAAACACCGATTATAATTAAATTTATAAAGAATTAGATTCCAAGTAAAGGGCAATACGAGAGAGTTCAAATTTCTCACCAGGATCCCAATTTAAATTTTCCATGACGACGGCTGCTGTCATACTTCGTCGTATATAGGTTTTGCGCAAAAGGAAGAGTCGATGGAAGTAACAGACTATTCAGTCGGCGATATCAATCCTGTAAGTAAATAAACGCAGCGTATTATATCATGAATAAAATAACTAGTCAGTGTGTATGTCAATTCGGGTCACTGCACGGCGTAACGCATATATTTTTAGCGTGGCCGCTGCAGCCACCCAGCCAGAAATAACCACGTAAAATGGATTTTCGCGTGATCTTGCACCTCCGTACCGGTAAGACTTATCAATATGATCGCGAAAATAATTTCGTTATGTAAGCAAGTGTCACTCGACACGGGGTTGGGTGACGTTGTTCAACTTGAAGTACAAGCAAGCTACCTCTGCTCTGGTAAGAAATCACACAAGAAGACGACTTGATCATGAGTGCACAATATCAGAGACAAGTCTGCGAATAGCACGATTTACCTGGAGCTGACTCTGACGTTCGAATTCTCGAGCATTTTCCACTCTAGACGCGACGCCACGCGTACCGTCCCAACGCCATCTTGAAAGGCACTTGATTCCTTCACTCCCCTTACCGCCCTGCGTCAACCAGGCGACAAAGCCAACGGGTTTCTTTCCCTACGTCGGCCAAGCCAGCATTCAGGGCCGTATGATCATCTTCCTACTGTGTCTCTATTGATAACAATTGGCATATTTAGCATAACGTCTACGGTTGATTACTCGAAAATAGGGAATACTACTTAGCACGAAAAAGTTGACAATTATTAAACACAATGTTTTCCTGACTACAAGCGTAAGCTCATGTAGTCACTTCAATATTATCAGAGTTACTTTCGACAGTGAATTATACACGCGGTATTACAATATCTAGAAAATTTCGTAAAGATATCAATGACCAAGTAAAGTCCGGGCTCATCGTCGGAGAATGTAAATAATTATTGTTTTCTAACAAATTTCAATGGACAGCTGACGACTCGCAGGTATCCCAAGATTCAAAAAGACGCGGGTTGAATTTAGTGGCCGGTAATTCCAGACAGTCCGCGCTGGCAACGTAGCAGCACCATCGCCAATGTATACATGCAGTTGTCTGCGCCAAACATCTCGCCGAAAGGTCCCGAAAAATACGGTGATTTCCGTGCTGTTTTCCTGTGAATTACGTGACGAAGTAGTCCTTCGTGTTCCCGGCACTCCCTCGTAGACTCCCATTCGGTAAGATCCCCGGTTTCTCTTTATTTACCGCCCTCGCGCACAGACAAATTTGACATGGCGTTGACACCAGAGAGGCTTTAAAAGTTTTCGTGAAAAGCCTTGCGCCCAGGGCGCCCTTTTCACTTTCTCAACTTCGTGGCGCCGGGCGCCACTCAATTTCCCTAACAACGTCTTCCCGACGCTCGGCGTCTCGTGTTCCCTTGACTCCAAAGGCCTGCGTCCTCTGCTCCAAATATTTACTAGGTACACGCACCCGGCGCTACCCTGTCACTCGTGCTTTGGAAAACGTGCTTGCCCGCGCACGTCCACAAGTGGTTGTGCCTTCTGTGAATTCCATCGTGCAACATATATAGTTTCAATATGTGAAAAGAGCGATCGAGATTTCTGACAAGATGCGCCGACGATCATTTCACGTCGATCCGCGTAACTTAATGGCGCGAATAATCAATCAAAATCCAAGAAAGAACTGTATTTTTTTCTGTGTGGTTATGTTGGCACGTAGCACAATCGATCGGGATTTACGTATGTGTGCGTCTGTGCGTGTGTGCGTGGGTGTAACTTGATTTCACGAGGAATTATTTCGAAATGCAATATTTACCTAATGTCATATTCCGCCTCCGCGGTAACTCCCACGTCTTTTTGTTACAGAAAATCCTTGCACTTTGCCTTATTTTTCGTTCGCCGTTTGGTAAGTCAACCCGTTCATTTCTCATCCTTTTAACCCTGTTTTTCTCGTTTATTTATTTTATGCGCACCCTTTATTCACATGTTTTCATCAATATGCGCCTGGATACTTATTAAGTGTCCCGTAGGAATGTAAGCGCCGTATGATAAGGATTACGATGCACGATCCTCGATAAGATTACAAAACGGAGCAGAATCTTTCGGTCGGTTCGAATATTTTTACGCGCTTCTGTATCCGAAGCTTTTTTCACACCGCTATCAATTTTCCTTACCGACTGCTGAACTCTTTAAAAGGTTCAACAGAGTGCGCCACCTTCACCATTTCAAAGTCTACCGTCAACCAACGGACTTCCGTCTTTTTTCTCCTCGATTTAACAAATAATTAGCGACCGGGTCCCAAAGTCTTTAATGACAGCGAAGTTTTGTTTTCCTCTCGAATAAAGTATAGTTTGAATTTTGGTTAAAACGTAAAAACGTCGAGTCACACTTTCCATACTCGTTTATCACTAATTTGCGTTTCTTTTGTTTTTCCCTTCTCTCCCCTAATCCTGGAAGCATATTAGCTTTTGGCACGAGCCCTAAATATCTTCCAGCTTACTCGTATCGAATATTCCGTTTGCATGGGGCCTGGGTTGGGGCTGGGGGCGCGTGTCACCCGAGTGTTTTACTAGCCTTAATTTCGTGTGCTCTCACAGCCAATATGTCCGGCAGTAAATTCCAAACTTTCGCCAGCTTCGGTTTAGCGTTTTTGCGATCGCGGTTTAACGGCCGCGCTTTGGCCTGCGCCAAGGATTACCACCCCCCCTTGCATTAATTTGGTAAATGACGAACCTCCGTTTGCAGTCCGGAGAGCGAAACAAGCCCCGTCCGTCTTCAGGCTCTCGGATTTTGTGCCAACGGAGGCACCCTCACGGTAGAGCAGCCATACACAGTTGTGCCACGCAGCCCTGTTGTCGAATCCGTCCAAGGGCTAGTTTCATAAGTTCGCCTTCGTATATTTCAATGAAACTTCACTAACAATGACGAATACATATCGAATCGAAGCTAACAATAATTATCCGATAACAGTTGTTCAGTCAGTGAACTATTCCGTGGGCGAAAACGTTCGTCTAGGTCTACCAACATCGTACGACGGCGTACATAATTGATCCCGCCGGTGGTGAGGGCGCCAGTCCTGTTACATATACTATAGGTTATTATACCCCTTAAATATCTAATGTGTTTGCCTTCCTTCGCTAGCCACCGCCGCTTTATGTTTTACTAAGTAAATTACTGTTTTTTGTTCTCTGCGTTAATGTTGGCTCAATCGATTGGTGCTCCCCTCTGTACTGCACACCCCTTAGAACCTAGAAGCAGCCCCTTCCTCCCACCTCCCACCTCCTCCTTCCTTCTCACCCTCCTTACGACCGTTTCGCAGCCAACTACGAATTTTTCTACGTCACCCATAAAATATTTAATCCCGTGTGCCTCCTCCGGATCGTCTCGCCCCTCCGTGACGTCAGTAGGCCGATTCGCGCTTCTTCTTCAAACCGAGTATTCTGGAGCCGCAAAACTTTGCGCCACACGTGGAAACTGGGGGGTGTACCGATAATCGATCATAGGAAGATTGATTGGTCGCTGGGGAAAGTTTTCTTTTCCTTTTCTTTTTAGGCAAAATTATATTAAGACGGAAGCAAGTCTTCTGTTGCAGACACGGGCATGTCGATGTCAAGCCTTTTTTCCCCTTTCCTTCGATTCTTTCTTTTTTATTCCATTTTTTTTTTTTTCCTTTCTTTACTTACTCGACACGGGGTAGAGTATCGAATTGCCATCGAGATCGGAGAGAGTGCTCGTAAACGAGGGTGGTAATAAGACGATATTTTTTTTTATATCATGGAAAAATAACTGACGGCGTAGAAAACGACTCGCAGCCCTGGGGCTTCGCTCCCCCTTATATTTCCCTTCAGTTTTCAATTTGAAATATATTAAAAACAAATACGCCACGTGTAAATATATAACGAGCCTCTACGTTGTCGTAACTTTGATGGTGCTTTCGTTTAGGACTCTAACGGGTTGGTTACGTCAAGGGTGTTGCGCTATTATTTTCTCTCTCTCTCTCTCTCTCTCTCTCTCTCTCGCTCCTCTATGATTGGGAAATATTTATTATTTATAAAAAAAAGAGAATTCTACTTCTCATAGATATCTCGTTGCTCGGAGTAAAAAGTGTAATTTCGAAGGATAAATAAATGTAATCCTGGCGCAGTGCTTACCAAGAGAAAATAACGAAGTCGGCATTCCAGTGTATTTGCGGGATACAATGTGAAAACAAGAAGCTATCGCCTTAGCGGCACTCGCATCCGCCTCCTTTATTCGCGCTCCCTCCTAGCGCTGCCATTGACAATCGAGCAACGGCAACGGAAACAGCATTGCTACTACGGAGTTCCATCGAGTGCGTAAGGCTGCGTTCACACCGGCGAATGGAGAACCAGCGAGCACCGGCGGCGCGAAGAGGCTGAAGCCCAGCTAAGCGTAAATGTGCTTTGCCAATTGTTTCTACAAGGAAACAATGGCGGAATTCCAGGTCGGTTCAACAAATGCAATCGTGTCGTAGGTGAAGGATCGTAAATCGTGGATTTTGTTGAGAAAACATTCGTCGCCGTTACGGAAACGGGGATTGGTCGATCGATCGATCACGCGATTCGGATATCTGTATGGGTAATTAAGAGTATAGAAAGGAAAAGGGGAAAAAAGGTTTGCCCAGTCAAAAGCCACGTGAGCACCCTACTCCCCTAGACTGATCGATTCGAGATAATTTTCTAGAAAGTATGATTAATAAAAGCCAGCTGAAAAGTCAATAAACGGGCCCGCGGGGTGACGACTCTGTCGAATATGGGCTCTATGCCTGTGTGTTTACGTGCAGCCGTGCATGCACGTCGCTCTGGACTGACGGATGGACGTGTATTTGCCAAAACGGCAAACGTCACGTAGAACGAAACGCGAGTGGATGGCGCAGCCGATACAACAAAATGAAAGCTATCAGAGGTGACAATCCGCGGGCGACAAATCAGCCTGTATATTTAATGCCTCTAGGGGAACGCGCGCGCGCGCGCCCCGTTCTCTCCTCTCTCTCGCTCCATTACTCCCGCAGTATCGCACTCTCGGTCACTCCGGGTCCTGACAATGTTGCACTCTGTTATTCCCGACACTGTCGCGCACATTGCTCCCCTATTTGTACAATCTAGCGCAATCAGTGCTATTATATTAATATTTATACGTTCATCCCGGCGACGTTCGTCGACGATACCGGGCCAATCGAAATTGCGTCACGGACTCTCCATTATGCAGAGATCAAGCCCAATGGGTTGTGACCGGGCAAACTTCTCTCTTGGTTTCCTTTAGGCTTTTTTTTATATTTTCCAAAATTCCAACGAAAAGTTGACACCCCCC